AATCTTAAGGATTTAACTTGATGAGTTTTTGCACATGAATAAATCCAAGTAACCATTCAGGTGAAGATACAGACCTTAGGAGGTGCCTTGTAAGCCCTACTAGTCCTACTAGTCCATGTCACCTCCTACAAAGGTAACCGCTGATACCTGAACACCGTCAGTGAGTTTCACTTCTTGAATGGATATAAATGGAGCCTCACAGTATGTTTTCTGCCTCTCTTGTGTTTATCATCAGTATGTCTGTGAGGTTCATTCGTATGGATGCAAATGTTTGGAGATTGACATTTTCATACTATGTAATATCCCGTTGTAGTTATATAGTGCAGTCTATCCATTCTCCTGTTGATGGACATCTGGGCTGTTTCTTTTGTGGTGGGGATGTTATGAACATCACTGCTGTGAGAGGTTCTGTTAGGCATATACCCAGGACTGGACTGGATTGGACATGGGATAGGTGTATATTCAGCTCTAAGAGAAATTATGAAACAATTTTCAGCATGATTGATCATCCCACACACCACCAGCCCCGTTTGTGAGTTCCTGTTGCTCCACATTCTCGTCAGTGCTTGGTGTCCTCTCATTACTCTTTGTAATGGGATGCACTTTAGAGGGGACTCCCAGGACCATAGCACTGAAATCAATGCACTTCTCTCTGATCCCCATTCCTCCAGCACAGAGATCACCATTTTCCGGAATTCACACTTACTATTCATTACTTGTTCTGTGGGAAGTTATGTCATTACAAGATCCGTTTCCTTATGGATATAGGGGTATTCAGATTTTCTCTTTACTCTTATCTCAGTTTTGGTATGTTGTGTCTTCCAGTAATTCTGTGTCATCTGAATGTTTGAGCCAGTACTTTTAAAATCATTTTATCATACCTGTGTGTGTGTGTATGTGTGTATACATACCTGGAAAATATATTGTGTAGGCCTTTTGTTAAACTTTATCAGAAGGGTATTCTAGGGCACCTGGATGGTTCAGTCGGTTAAGCATCCAACCCTTGATTTTGTGGTCAGGTTATGATCTCACGATTCTGAGATTGAGCCTGACTTGAACTGGGCATTCAGCCTGCTTAAGACTCTCTCCCTCTCTCTCTGCCCCTCCCTTGCTTGTGTACTTGTGTGCGCTCTCTCTCTTTCTCTCTCTCTCTCTCTCAAAAGAAAATGAAAGGGTACTCTGTAGTCATCTGGGACTGGCTTTTTTATTCAGTATTATGTTATTGTCTATAACATATTTATATATTATATGTTACATATTATATATTTATATGTTATATATTACATGTCATATATAGCTGTAGTTCACTCGTGTTCTTTGACTGGGAAATAACCTCTTGCATGAATATTCCACAAAGTATTTGTTCTTTTAGACATTTAATTTTTCCCAGCTCTTCCCTCTTGCACACGATGCTGCTATGAAAATGTTTATGCGTGTGTCCTTGTGCACATGTGTGTGAGTTTCTCATGATAACGTTCCTGGGAGTGGAATTTTGGGTGACTAGGGATTTGGCATGTTAAGGTGGCACCCAGTTGTTTCCTGAAGTGGTTATAGTAATTTTGACTTTGGCCAGCAATATCTGAGAGATTCCATGGACCTACATCCTCTCCAGTATTTGCTATTACCAGCCTCCTTAGTTTTTGTCAGTCAAATGAGTATAAAAAATATCTCAGTGTAGTTTTGTTTTGCAGCCCTTCATTACTAAGAAAGTGGAATGACACTCCCCATTTGTTTAGTGGCCATGTGTATCTTTTATTAATGTCAGTTCATGATTTTTTTTTCTGATTTTTCTGTGAAGATGGTTGCTCTTCCCTTTTTGATTTGTCAGATTTTTTTTGTATATTCCTGATACTAATCTTTGACCCATACTGTGGGCTGCAGTTGTATTCTGTTAGAGTTTAGCTTTTAAAAAATATTCTTTAAAGTATCTTTTGAGGGGCGCCTGGGTGG